TTACTCCCAGAAACTCCTGCCATTACTGTTCCACTGTCTTTCCTGCTAGGCTCCTCTTCCAGTCAATTCTGCTCAGCTCCTCCCTCATACCGCTATAGTCGCCTTTATTCAGCTGTAATATCGTTACCTCTGATTCTATCTTCTCCCTCTATTGCAGAGTAAATTCAATCATATTATGATCACTGCCTCCTAAGGGTTCCTTTACCTTAAGCTCCCTTATCAAGTCTGCCTCATTGCATAACACTAAATCCAGTATAGCCTGTTCCCTTGTGGGCTCCACCATGAGCTGCTCCAAAAAGCCATCTCGTAGACATTCCACAAACTCCTTTTCTTGCAATCCACTACCAACATGATTTTCCCAGTCCACCTGCACATTGAAATCCCCCAAGATCCTTTGCCTTTCTTACACACCTTTTCTATCTCCTGGTGTATCTTGTGCCCCAGCTCCTGACTACTGTTTGGAGGCCCGTACACAACCGCAACTATGGTTTTTTAGCCTCTGCAGTTCCTCCATTCTACCCACACAGATTCTACACCATCTGACCCTACTTTGTTTCTTCCTATTGATTTAATTCCATTTCTTACTAAAAAGGCAACACCACCCCCTCGGCCCAACTGCCTGTCTTTTCGATAGGATGATTATCCTTGGATATTCAGTTCCCAATCCTGATGCCCTGGCAACCACGTCTCCGTGATGCCTGCCATGTCATACCTGCCAGTTTCGATTCGCACCGCAAGCTCATTTACCTTATTCCTTATACTGCGTACATTCAGATTTAACACCTTCAGTCCTGTATTAACCCCCCTTTCTCATTTTCATTCGTTTCTCCAGTGTTTGATTGCTAGCCTTTTCCAAACACTCTGTCCTATTTGTGTCTGTGCTGGAGACTTTAATAACCTCTCCTGAATTCTCCTTCCCTGTCATTTCTTTCATATTGTTCCACTTAGTTGAATCCACCACTACAGATGTTAACCTGCTGTTTTGTTTCCCACTGGGGCAAGTTTCACTATTCCCTTCCCCCCAACTTTCTAGTCTAAAGTCCCGTTGACCAGCCTATTTACCCTTTACGGTAGAACATTGGTCCCAGCTCGATTCAGGTGGAGACCGTCCCAACGGTACAGATCCCTCCTGTTCCAATACTGATGCCAGTGCCCCATGAAAAGGAACCCCTCTTTCCCAAACCAGTCTCTTAGCCACGTGTTTACCCCCCTTATTCTCATGTCCCTATGCCAATTAGCACGTGGCTCAGGCAGTAATCCGGAGATTATAACCCTTGAGGACCTGTTCTTTAATTTGTTTCCTAGTTCCTAATAATCCCTTAACAGGTCCTCTTTCCTAGTCTTGCCTATGTTGTTTGTTCCGGCGTGGACCACAACAACTGGATCCTCCCCCTCCCGCTCCAATATCCTTTCAAGCCGGTCAGAGATATCCCTTACCCTAGCACCGGGCAGGCAACACACCACGCAGGACTCTCGATCCTGCTTACAAAGGATACTATCTATCTCCCTAATTATAGAATCCCCTACAACTACCACCTGTCTTTTTGCTCCCTCCTCTTGAATGGCCTCCCGTACCACGGTGCAGTGGTCAGTTGGCTCATCCTCCCTGCAGCCCTTTTCCTCATCCACAAAGGGAGCAAGTACCTCTTACCTGTTGGACAAGGTCAAGAGCTCAGGCTCCTCTGTTCCTGACTGCAGGATCCCTCTACCTGCCTCGCTTACAGTCACACCCTGCTGTCCCTGGCCAATGACTGAATTTGAAGTACTTAATCTACCAGGTGTGACTGCCTCCTGAAACAAACTGTCCAGGTACTTCTCCCGCTCCCCCTGCCACAGTGTTTGAAGCTCAGATTCCAGCTCATCAACTCTGAGCCGAAGTTCCTCAAGCAACCAACACTTGGTCACTGCAGTTTGCAATGGGATCAGCCAGCTCCCACATCATACAGCTACAACACATCACCTGTCCAGCCATTTCTACTTAGTTATTTACTTTATTAATTTATTGTAATGAGTTAATTAAATTTGTTGATAAAGAAAAGAAGGACTTACCTTACCTTACCAACCCTCCACAGTCTTTATTTTTGGTTAGAGGAGGAGGATGGGTGGGAGACACTACACGTGTAGTGTTTTGGGTTTAGCCAATGCCCGAATATAATAGTTCATGTATATATATCCTTCTGTGGCCCTTTCATGTCCTCTTCACACTTACTTTCCAATATTTCTTCGTGCCATTAGCATATTTAGCAACCATACCTTTAGCCATTTATATAACTTCTAAAAAATCTTTAGGCCCAAGCACTGATTCCCATGTTATACCACTTATTCCTTCTTGCCAACCAAAAACGACCCATTTGCTTCCTATTGGTCAGCCAATCCTCCATCCACACCTATATTTCACCCTTCACATCATGAGCTTTTATTTTTTGCGACAACCTTTGATGTGGTTCCTTATCAATTGCTTTCTGAAAATCTAAGTACAGCACATGCACTGGTTGCCTTTATCCACGGCACAGGTTATTTCTTCAAAAAACTCCAATTAGTTGAACTCAGTTTTCTATACACAAAACCATGTTGAGTCTGTCTGATTATCTTAAACTAGTCTAAGTACTTTGTTATAATAACTTTACCCTAAAGTGTCTTATTGCACAGTGGTAGTGTCCCTACCTCTGGGCCAGAAGTCAGTAGATTCAGGTTGAAATTCGACCTGCACCAGAGGTGTGTCATAGCATGCCTGAACAAGTTGATTAAAATAGCTGAGGGCTGTTATGGCAGTTGTAATGTTCCTAACCTCTGGGCCAGAAAGCTTGGGTTCAAGACTCACCTGCTTCTGAGATTTGTCTTAGCATGAAGAATTGTTTAAAATTGATTAAAAATATCTAGAACACCTTTAATAATAGTATCGAACATCTTTCCTACAATAGATGTTAAGCCAACTGGCCTGTAGATTCTGATTTCTATCTCCTCCCTTTCGAGTAACAGAGTTACATTCACTATTTTCCAATCTAATATAACCTTTCCTGAAGCTAGGGAATCTTGAAAAATTAAAACTATCCAATTGACCATTTCTTTTAATACACAGAAATATAGAAACATAAAAAATAGGAGCAGGAATAGGCCATTTGACCCCTGGCTGATTATCGAGTTCAATGCCCTAAAACTGCCCTCCCCTGATTTTATTTTGTGGTGAATTAGCTCTTTTTATTTTGAGTTTGTTGCAAGAGTTAGCAAACGACATTCAAGGAAAAATAAAAACAATTGTCGCTCACAGCTTTTATGAACCTGGCACCCACTGTGCTAATTCACTCCTTAAATAAACACAGCAAAAGAATTAAACTGTTGTCTTTTTTTTTAGTATAAAAATAAACTGGGCATGTAACTTCAACTAGGAAAAACTGAAGCCTCACTCTTTGCCAGGAAACAATAAACATTTACAATAAAATGTTTAGTTGACCAAATTTACATAAATATCTGTATTACTTGTATAAATAAAGAGATCACATTTCATTGTACAGTATGTCATCTGCTGTATTAGATTTCAATGAATCCTCACAATGGGGAAACAGGTCATTTGGCCCAATGAGCCCACATGGACCTTTTGAAGACTATCCCACCCAGAGCCATCCCCCTACCCTATCCCTGCATTTCCCATAGCTAATGCTAACTTATTCCCATAGCTAACTTACACACCCCTGAACACGATGGACAATTTAGCACAGCCAATTCACCTAACTTGCAATTTGTGGACCTTGGGAGGAAACCAGACTACCCAGCAGAAACAGGAAGAATGTGCAAACTCCACACTGACAGTTGCCAAAGACTGGAATCGAACCTGGGTCCCTGGTGCTGTGAGGGAATAGTGCTAACCACTGAGCCACTAAGCCGCTTTCACTTTTTTTAAGAATGATTTTCAATAACTTGTTTTTATCAGATCCATTGTTCTTCTCTTTCCCTCCCTCCTATTAACATGCACAACTATTTCATGTGCTTCATATGTTCTGAAGAAGTGTCACCTATTCCTTGTTCAGAAGAAAGGTCACTGGACCTGAAACATTAACTCTGATTTCGCTCCACAAACGCTGCCAGAGCCAGTGAGTGTTCCAGCAATTTCTGTTTTTGTTTCTGATTTCCAGCATCTGCAGTTCATTCATTTTTTGATTTCATGTGCCTTTCTGACCCCCAAACCCATCCCACTGGAAACAGTAAAGACAAAAGAGCTTATTGGTGGCTGGGGCAAGGAAAGAAAATATCAATCGATTTCCTCTTTTCAAAACTCAATTTTAGATTCATTTATAGCTATACTTTAGAAAACACTTGGATCTTTTGATTATGTTTAAAATAAATGGAGTGTAATTTCAAAGCTGAATTTATATTTAAAAGAAAATTACCGTAATTAATATAAGACCCTGCAATGAAGTCCATCTGGACCCAGTCACTTGTCACCTTGCTCTTCAAACAATTTACTCGGTACCACTTCCTTGTTGATTGTTACTTTCTTGAGTTACGATCTCCCTCCACTTCCTCAAATACAGCTACACAAAATAACTGCTCAATTCATCTACTATCTCCTTATTTCCCATGCTTCATTCCCCACACTCACTTTTCATAGAACTAATGCTCACTTTGTTAGTCCTTTGTTAGATAGCTATATATACTCTTTAGCTGTGTTCATACTTCTAGCTAGCTTCCTCTTGTACTCTAATTTTCTCCTCTTTATTAATTTTAGCCATTCTTTGCTGTTCTGATCTGCTGCCCATTTTTGCACCTTTATACTCATTTCTTTAAGTTTAACATGATCTTTAACAATGTCTCCACACTTTTTTAACCCACTATCTTCATTTTGCCCTTCCTTGCCTCCCCTTCCCTAACACACTTTCCCAGATCTACCCCTACAATCTCCTCACTCATCCCTGTCCAAGTTATGTCTCCTCCCCCAAAGTCCTGGAGCCTGAGCCCCTGCTCCAAACCGCTTGCCCATGCCACCCTGTCCCAGAACTCCTTACCCAGCAGGTCCCCAGAGAAGTTGACAGGAAGGACAATGGCGATCGACAGGACACAGACCACAGTGAGGAGGACCAGGATGTGTCGCTGAAATGAGAGGTAGATAATGGCGTCGAGTCCACACTTGTACTGAATCTCATCGTCCCTTAAATCAAAAACACCAAGTGAGTACCAAGCACAGACAGCTCCATCCATAGCTCCAGTCCATCCTCCAGCACATTTTTCATTGCCTATCATACAATATACCCATTGTCAGAAATTTTCCAGGCATCTCTCTGCAGACAGGATTTGTCCTGGGGGACTGGAGGATTGAAAATGTGATACAGTTGTTTAAGTAAGGAGCAAAGGATAACCCAGGAAACTACAGACCTGCCAGCTTGACATCAATAGCAGGAAAATGGATGGAGGCTATAATACGGGATAAGATAAATAATACTCTGTGACTGCCATTTTTTGCCTTTCCCAATCCTTTTTAATTCAAATGGAACTTAAACATCCTGTTCATTTGTTTGCCATTTTACTAGCTTGTCTTCTTCTTCAGAAGCAGTCTTTCCTTTTGGAATAGTTTTCATCTTTCTTGAACTGGGAAAATTTGCCCCTATAATCCATGCTGAAGTTGCCGCATTGTACATGGCCAGCTCCCTACAATTTCCAAGTCAAATAAACTGGTACGAGGCTAGGGAACACAATCTTGACACTTAGAACATAGAACAGTGCAGCACAGTACAGGCCCTTCAGCCCACAATGTTGTGCCGACTTATTATCGTACTAAGATCAATCTACCCTGCATACCCTACATTTTACTATCCTCCATGTGCCTATCTAAGAGTCACTTAAAAGTCTCTAAAGTATCTGACTCCACTGCCACTGCCGGCAGCGCATTCCACACGCCCACCATCTCTGTGTAAAGAACCTAACTCTGACATCTCCTTCAATCACCTTAAAATTATGTTCCCTCATAATAGTCAATGAAAAAAGCCCTAGCTCCCTCAACCTTTCCTCATAAGACCTGCCCTCCAGTCCGGCAGTATCCTGATAATTTTCCTTTGCACCCTCTCTAAAGCTTCCACATCTTTCCTATAATGAGGTGACCAGAACTGAACACAATATTCCAAGTGTGGTCTCATCAGAGTTTTATAGAGCTGCAGCATACCCTCGCGGCTCTTAAACTCAATTTCCCTGCCAATGAAAGCCAACACACCATATGCCTTCTTTACAACCCTCTCAACTTGGGTAGCAACTTTGAGGGATCTATGGACGTAGACCCCAAGATCCCTCTGTTGCTCCACACTGCCGAGAATCCTGCCATTAACCCTGTATTCTGCATTCAAATTCGACCTCCCAAAATGAATCACTTCACACTTTTCAGGGTTGAATTCCATCTGCCACTTCTTTGCCCAGCTCTGCATCCTGTCAATGTCCCGTTGCAACCTACAACAGCCCTCCACACTGTCCACAACTCCTCCAACCTTCGTGTCATCGGCAAACTTACTAACCCACCCTTCCACTTCCCCATCCAAATCATTTATAAAAATCACAAAGAGCAGAGATCCCAGAACAGATCCCTGCGGAACACCACTGGTCACCGAGCTCCAGGCTGAATGCTTTCCATCTACTACCACCCTCTGTCTTCTATTGGACAGTCTCTGGAACAGCCAACTTGGTCTAGGCTGCAATAAATAGTGGTCATCCCTCTCACTATTCACAAAATTAAAACAGGGATTACTAGAGTTTAACTTACCTCATGTGATAGAGTGTGGTCAACCAGGAACAGAAGCCCTGCAGATAGAAGACCAAATATACAAATCAAAATCAGAAATTCAGGTGCAATTAAAATCACAAATCAGAAAATTATAACAAGCAATTTAGGGTGGTCATCTTCGGATTACTCCTTGTGCCACATGCCAATGAAGCTAGGAATAGGAAGATATGTGGCTAAAGAGCTGGTCTAGGAGTGGGTGGGGTTTCAGATCTGTGAATCATAGGGATGTTTTCCAGGGCAGTTGGGAGCGGTACAAGGAGGACAGATTTCACCTAAAGTGAGGGGCACCAATATCCTGGCAGGGAGGTTTGCTAGTGTCACTTGAGAGGGTTTAAACTAGTTTGGCAGGGGGCTTTTGTACTAAAACAGATACAACTTAGCTTTCTGGTCCTTCCATCTGCCTTATTATACTGTGACTTCTCTGTCTGCTGGACTGTCCTAGTATTCCTTTTCTATTTGATTGAACCTTGTTCCTGATTTTACATCTATTCTGCATCCCATTCCCCTGCCAAATCAGTTTAACACCTCTCGAACATTGTATGCTTCATTACCTGCATTCTCCGACTGTCCCACCACCTTCAATGATTTATGTATATATACACCAACGTCGCTCTGCATCTGCATCCCTTTCTGTACTGTACCCCTTATTTGATATTGTCTATCCATGTTACACCAACCAAAATGCATCACTCACACATCTCCATTTGGACTTCATCTGCCACCTACCTGCTCATTCCACCAATGTGTCAAAGTTCTTGTCTACAGTGTCCTCCTCACAGATTACAATGATACCAAGTTTCGTAAGCACCTCCTTTTCACCTATAAGAATAGCCCACAAGCTTTCAGTCTCTCGCTATTTAAATTCTCCATTTTGCTCTCACTCTGACTTCTCAATCCTCAGACTCCTGTCATGTTTCAGTGAAACTCAATGTAAGCTTGAGGAACAGCTCCTCATCTTGCAAAGCAGCACATTATAGCCTCTGGAGTCAATGCTGAATTCAACAGTTTTAAAATATAATCTCTGTCCTCACTTTGTTTTCTTTTCTTCCCATGTTTGGATCTTGCTTGCGGACAAACAATTGTTCCTGGTTACAAGCATATGGAAAAACATACAATCGTATGCACTAGGAGCAGGAGTAGGCCACTTGGCCCCTTGAGCCTGCTGTACCATTTAATAAGATCATGGCTGATCTAATTACTCCACATTCCCACTTACCTCTGATGACCTGACACTGCCTTGCTAACCAAGAACCTGTTTACTTTCTTCATGCATACCTCTCACCTCTATATTTATCTTTCATTTCTTTATCATCCTCTTATGCCTTGCTCCACAAACTCTTTCCCCATTTAATCTGCTTAAAACCATCATTACATTCCTAACTTTGCTCAGTTTTGGCGAAAGATTATGCGGTTGAAACATGAACTATTTCTCCCTCCACAGACCATGCTTGAAACTCCTGCTAAATATTTCCAACATTTTCTATTTCTTTCACATTTCCAGTATCCACAGTATCTCGGTATTATTTTTGTCTGAATATTAAGGTTGTCTTCTGGAAGCCCCAATAAATGACATTCAGTAAGGTTCCACGTAAGAGCATGTTCCAAAAATTACAATGACTGGAATTCGAGGGTCAATCAAAACTGGTGCAAGCTCAATTGTGTACTTACCACATCTTTACTCTCTAGCTCAGTTGGGCTGGTTTCAGAAGGAGATTTCTCCTTTTCAGTCTGTTCACCGTAAAACAAAGAGGTGAGGCTACATAAAATAGAGAAAGAAAAGCATTAAACATAACTGCTGACAATGACATTTCCAGAGTACTGAGCATCGCAGACACAAAGTGCACACAACAGACAGTGATAGAGACAGAGCTGGCTAGGGTGGGTATGGTCAGAAATCACACAACACCAGGTTATAGACCAACGGGTTCATTTGTTTTCAAATAAACCTGGTGGACTATAACCGTCATGTGATTTCTGACCTCGTCCACCCCAGTCCAACACCGGCATCTCCACATTAGGGTGGGTATGGGCAGGGAGATAGCAGAAGGAGAAATGGAGGGCATAGCAGAGAAATGGAGAGTGAAAGCAATACAGGACAGGATGAGAAGGGGTGGGTGGGTGGAAGGAGGTAGCAAGGGAAGGAAGTAGAGTTCTGAAACATTAGAAGCGAAATGACTTCATGGAGACGGGTATACTGTCACCAAGTCACCCTTTATTTACACATGAAGAGTCCTTGAAACAGATCCATCTCCCTCAGAGCCAGCTCTCACAGTGACCAAAGCCACTAACACTCCTTGTTCTATCTATCAGCTAGGGCTCCCTGATTGGACCAGATTACCAGCCCCAACTCATATGCTATGATTTCCACCTGACTGACCCCATTAGAATCATGGAAGGGCCTTCCTCAAGGATAATTCCAGAAATTATACATTAGGAAAGGATTGACAGGCTGGGTCTCATCCCTGTGAAAAAAAAGGTGACCTAAGAACGATCTTTAAAATGATGAATGGATTTGATTCAGTGAATATAGGAAGAAAATTTGCCTTTTTTTTGGGAAGTGTGAAATTAGATGTCTTTACTTTAGAGTTGCATTATGGTCAGTGTGGACATGGTGGGCCAAAGGGCCTGTTCCTGTGCTGTGCTGTTCCACGGTAATATAACACAGCCATCTAGAAATGTGATAGGGAATTCAGAAGAAACTCCTTCACCCAGAGAGTTTTAAGAATACAGAATAGGTTCTCATAGGGAGTGACTAATGTCAGTAGTATAGATGTATTCATAAGGAGTCAGATAAGTATGTGACAGCAAAGGGAACAGAAGGTTACAATGGTCAATTTAGATGAAGAGATGTGGAAAAAGGCTCAAATGGAGCCTAAACACCAGAATCAGCTAATTGGCCCAAATGGCCTGTTCCATTTGTCCCATGTAACTTAATGTAATAATCCACATACAAAATTATTTGTAAACCTGCCTATCTGGTAGCCACGGGTTACCCATCTAGACAAGATCAACAGGTCACAGATGGACCTGAGACAGGGTTTCAGCACAGGCATTAGGCCCTGTTTGCAAATGCCTGTTTCAGCTAAATGCTGGAAACCCACAGCAGAGCCTACACTGATAGGGGAAGTGGCACAATCTGATATGGAATATGTAAGGGGGCTGCCTACCATATTAGGCACTTTGATACGCATAATGTGCATACAAAATGAGTGAGATCTTTGTTTCTTTTTAATTCATTCACAGGATGTAGTTATTACTAGCTGGGCCAGCATTTAATTCCCACCCCTGTTGTCCTTGAGAAGGTGGTGATGAGCTGACTTCTTGAATTGCTGTGAGTAGACACGTTGGAGAGGCAGATCTGGGATTTTGGCCCTGTGACACTGAAGGAAAGGTGATATATTTCCTAATCAGGATGGTGAGTGGTTTGGAGGAGAACTTGCAGGCAATGGTGTTCCCGTGTGTCTGCTGCCCCTGTCCTTCCAAAAAGAAGTGATGAAGAGAAGAAGTAGAAGGAGCTGTCTAAGGAGCCTTGGTGAATTTCATGATGTGGTTGTGCTGGTATTGGACTGGGGTGGGCAAAGTCAGAAGTCACACAACACCAGGTTATAGTCCAGCAGGTTTATTTGAAAACACAAGCTTTCGGAGCGTAGTCCCTTCATTAGGTGAAGTGAAAAAGAAGCACACAGAACACAGAACTTATAAGTAAAAGTTCAAAGGGTCACACAACTGATGAGAACGTATTAAACACACCTAAGATGCTGTTAAATCTTTAATCGGTTAAAAGGTTTTAATTGATTAACATGTATATGTAAATCCCTGAATTCCTTTCAAATCACGGTCCTGAGATCTAAATGTTTTATCAGTGTAAAGAGGAGGTGGTATTTTAGGTCAGACAATGTATTTTAAGTGTGAGACCTTGCTTAGAATCTGGGAGATAGTAGGAATTGCCGATGCTGGAGTCTGAGATAACAAGGTGTAGAACTGGATGAACACAGCAGGCCAGGCAGCATCAGGGGAGCAGGAAAGCTGACGTTTCAGGTCTGGACCCTTCTTCAGAAG